AATGCTTTAGAGACTGACATCCTAAAAATACTGGCAGATAGAACCCATTTACGTATAGTCGAAAAGCCCTATAGATGTGTTAACTGGATCCCACAGTACAGTGTGTTAGCCTTAAGGCTTTACCTCATTTATTAAGAAAAAACACTGAAATTCTTTTCAAAGCCTACAGCATAGTTAGTGATCAGTCTTAGAAGAAAATGTGCTACTGGGAGGGTCTGATCCAAAGCCCATTGAAGTCAATGGAAAGATTTCATTGTCCTAAGACAGTATCCATTTTTCAAAATTAAACTGTTATTGAAATAGATGCTGTATTTCATAAGTTCTTTTGATTGCTCACCTTATAATTAATGAAAGTAGATTTGGGCATTGAATCCAGGGGCTCAGTTGTGAGCCTTTCTGTGCACTGGCACAGAGGGGCAAAGGCGAATAATGGATGAAACATGTATCTGTCCCACACAGGCCACCTATGTCTCTGGAGTCTGTGTGGGGTGGGGAAATAGCAGCCGCTTCCTGTAATCCTGTTTTAAATACAAAGCACAAATTAAATGGCTCTCATCTAGTTATGGTACAGTGACGTTCTTCTGCTTAATTTATGAAGTATTAGCTTAGTTGTTGTACCTTTCAAACAACCATTAACTTACAGGATATTCTGGTGACATGGGACCCTAATATTCACCCTTATGAATTATAACTATTTGGAACAGCTTAAAAAATAAAACAAAACTGGCCAACAAATTATTAGAATGCAGCAGAGAGGAAAAAGCAGAGCTGGATTGTGTGGGTTTCCTGTTGTCTTTCTGGAAGCATTGACACTGCAAAGTAGGTTGCTACAAGGAAACGTCTAAATGCTAAGATGCTTTTAAAATACATATAACATTGCTCTTTCACAGATTTCAGAGTATATCACATTAAATGAACTGCTCTATCATGTCATCCAACCCTCATAACTGCATAATAATCACAACATTCATATTGTTTTGATCCATTTTTGTGACTTCCGATGGGAATCATGTCCTCCTCTAATTTCACCCTCTATGTCACTGGACATAGCCCATTCTCCTTTTGAGAGAGATATGTTTCTGTATATTTTGCTCGTTGCTCTTGTCTTGTAATCCCCTTTCAATTTATAGTTTTAACCAGTGGCACCATTTTGGATTTTGAGGGAGGGGGAGGCAACTTTAACCATGATTCCATTCCAGGGGGTACTTAGGCACCTGAAAACTCTAGTTTTTTTGCAGGTAATAACTTAGAAATTAGCTGACAGGAACACTGTTCCTAATTCCTATTTGGTAAAATCCAGGCATTCACAAAGGAATCAGTGTTTCTGTGACCCAGCCTATGGACCTGATCCAAAGCCCATTGTTGGCAAAGGAAGAAAGACTCCCGCAGACAAGTGGAACTAAATGGCAGAATAAATGGCCACACTGGGGTGCTGCCATTCGCTACAAAATTAGAGAGTTGGGGAAAAAATTTAAAGTTTTAAGTGTAATTTAAACAATATTTGTGATGGTGGCAGCTCATGCTTGTTTCTTCACAGCAGGGAAAGGTTACAAGTTTTCTATTCTTCAGCACTGCTCTTGCAGCCCGGCTGTGCTTTACTTTCTGCATTTATCTAAGTGTAGACCATGGGGAAAAAAATCAGTTCTACAACTTTTAATTCATTTCACTTTCAACATCCTAGTGCTCCAATGTTTGGGTTTCAAACACTGCACAGGAATCTTGGTCTACGAACTATTTTCAGTCAGATACATAGCCTTTTAAAAAGGGTTTTGGAACCTGTTGTAGTCTATGGTTTTATAACTTTTTTTTTTAACATAAGTTATAGATGCTGGAACTAGCGGTCCTGGGGGTGCAGCGCCCCCTGGCTTGAAGTGGTTTCCATCACATACAGGGCCAGCACAATGGCTGCATGATATCTAGATTATTCTTGGCCATAATATTTTTGGAGATCTTTCTAATTCATCATGAAAGAAATGTTCAGATTATGTGTTGTAACTTGGTCTTTCACCACTAACATAAATGAGCTGAACTACAGGGGTTAAGATGAACATTTTAAAGTTTGTCAAGGGGGAAAGTAGCATTAGAGAGAAAGTATGTGCATTAATTAACAGATGGGGAGGGGGGATGAAATTAATGATGGCTCAAAAGTAGATGAGGCATCACACTTTAAAAAAAGGTTTCAGAGTAGCAGCCGTGTTAGTCTGTATCCGCAAAAAGAACAGGAGTACTTGTGGCACCTTAGAGACTAACAAATTTATTTGAGCATAAGCTTTCGTGGGCTACAGCCCACTTCTTCGGATGCATAGAATGGAACATATATTGAGGAGATATATATACACACATACAGAGAGCATGGAAAGGTGGGAGTTGTCTTACCAACTCTGAGAGGCCAATTAAGTAAGAGGAAAAAAAACATTTGAAGTGATAATCAAGATAGCCCAGTACAGACAGTTTGATAAGAAGTGTGAGAGTACTTACATGGGGAGATAGATTCAATGTTTGTAATGGCTCAGCTATTCCCAGTCTCTCTTTAAGCCTAAATTGATTGTATCTAATTTGCATATCAATTCAAGCTCAGCAGTTTCTCCTTGGAGTCTGTTTTTGAAGCTTTTTTGTTGCAAAATTGCCACCCGCAGGTCTGTTATTGAATGACCAGACAGGTTAAAGTGTTCTCCTACTGGTTTTTGAATGTTATAATTCCTGATGTCAGATTTGTGTCCATTAATTCTTTTGCGTCGAGACTGTCCGTTTTGGCCAATGTACATGGCAGAGGGGCATTGCTGGCACATGATGGCATATATCACATTGGTAGATGTGCAGGTGAATGAGCCCTGATGGCATGGCTGATGTGATTAGGTCCTATGATGATATCACTTGAATAGATCTTTAAAAAAAAATCTCTTAAAAAGTCACTGTATAATTAAATGATGGATGTTAGCAGCATGGATCTATAATAAATTTTGGCAGCCAAATCTTACAAATTGTTCAGATTGGCTTGGGTTTATGTGCACTGAAGGGTTTATACAAATAGTTATGATAAATACAAAGGATTAAATTGGAACGATTTGAGAGAGTAAACACGTCAATGAAATTCACGGATGATACTCTGCCCCCTCGGAAATATTAAAGAGTAAATAAACAGGAGCTAAGATTACTTACCAGCTGGAAGAGAAGGACGTACAGCACAGCAGACACACAGCTATGAAATGGCTGTGTAAGGGCAGCAGTTGCTTGTATCTGCACAAAAAGACCAAGAGCTCCTCAAAAGCTGTTCTGGGAAAAAGGTCCTAGAAAAGTGCCACCCTGAAGAAATTTGGTAAGATCAAGGCATTCACAGAGGAATCAGCCTTTGTGTGTAACAGCCTGTAGAGCCCTACCTGGTAACCTGACCCAAAGTCCATTGTAGGCAAAGGAAAGACTCCTACAGACAAGTGGGACTAAATGGCCACACTGGGGTACTGCCATTCCCCAAAATATTGGAGAATTGGAAAAAATAGGAAAGTTTTAAGGGTAATGTAAGCAATATTTGTGGTGCAACACCTCATATTGGTTTCTTGACAGCAGAGAACGATCGCAGGTGGTCATTCTTCAGCACTCCTGTTGCAGCCTGAACCTTGGGCTGGCTGTGGGGATAATTATCTCCTGAATGCGTGTGGGGCAGCAGCCCCCCCCCATTCCCTACCTGAGCAGCCCTGTGTCTACTGATGTCACAAGAAGAACAGGAGTACTTGTGGCACCTTAGAGACTAACAAATTTATTAGCTGTCACAAGGGGCTTGCTCCTGCCTTCGTAACATGTCAACCCGTGAAGTTGAGTCTAGGCAGATCATGATGAAATTTGCAGCAGGCATCTTCTGACCTAAGCACAGAGGTTCCTTTCCCTGACCCCTCCCTGAACATGTTTGTTTCAATGAAAAGAATGAGTTTGAAAAAAGTGCTGCAGAAGCTCCCAGCCCTGCTATTGGCTCTGCCAGCTACACCTCTGCATTCCTATTGGCGGAGCAAAGAATAGCCAGCCCAGGGAGAGGAGAGGGGGCCTGATTGGGATCCTGGCAGGTGGGTGGGCACAAAGCCCGCCCATGTCTAAAGCCCCCTCCCCCAGCCTCGCAGGAGGGACCACTGGACCTGCATAGGGGGGACAACTCATGAATAACAGGGTTAGGAGTGAAGGTCACAGGTTGCAAACGAGGGCTGCAGAGGGGGACACTGAGCGGAGAACCCCAGACAGGGGCGGGGGGAGAAGAGAGACTTTCAAGCAGCTTGGCTGTGGCGGGGGGGGACACACTCAGCCAAGCTGCCCCTGCTGGCTGGGGTGGGGAGGGGGAAGATGAGTCCGTGAGGCCAGCCACGTGACTGCTGTCCCCTTTGTGTTTTGCTTTGGCTGCTGCAGTTCTTGCCAATCAGGGGCTGGAACCAATCGCTCAGGCGCCTAACCCGCCTCCTGATTTCATGACAGCCCCGGGAGCCAAGCAGGCGTTTGCATGGGCTGGGCCTTTTGTTGTGCTCCAGGAGTGTGGCTGTCTGCTCCCGCTCCCGCTCCCGGCTGGGGCAGGGGGAGGAAGGAGGCAGAGGAGCGAGCAGCCTCTCCCAACGACACTCGGGGAGGGGCTGTAGCTCCCTTCACCCTCCCGGGGGGGTGAACAAGAGGGGTGGGTGGGTGAAGAGAACTGAGTGACTCCCCTCCCTGAGTTCCTGCCCACGAGGGGCTCTGTCCGAGAGGTTCCCCTCCCATGGGAAACACCGGATGCACGAGTGAGAATGAAGGGAGAGTAGGGGGACCAGTTTTCAGAGTAGCAGCCGTGTTAGTCTGTATCCGCAAAAAGAACAGGAGTCCTTGTGGCACCTTAGAGACTAACAAATTTATTAGAGCATAAGCTTTCGTGGGCTACAGCCCACTTCTTCGGATGCATATAGGTGACCAGATGTCTCGATTTTATAGGGACAGTCCCGATTTTTGGGTCTTTTTTCTTATCCAGGCTCCTATTACCCCCCCACCCCGTCCCGATTTTTCACACTTGCTGTCTGGTCCCCCTAAGGGAGAGAGACCCTGAGCTCCCTGGCCTGGCCGCAGCAGCCTGGGATCCGGAGCAGAAGGGCGCCCTGGAGCCCCAAGCCAGCACCTGACCGGTTCCCGAAGGACAGCGTAACTCGCTCACCCCCCATCCCCCGGACCCTGGGAGGGAAACTCAGGGCAAAGGCCAGGGGAAGGGCAGGGGCTCCCAGGCAGCTTCACTTCCCAGTGCCCATGTGCAGCGGCGCCACACTTGCGCACTGGGGGCGCCCGAGGCGTTCGCACATGCACAGTAGCGGAGAGGGACACATTTTGAGAGCGGGCAGTGTTCGCTTCCACGGTGCGGCTCGGGGAACTCCTCGCTGCTCAGTCGGGGAGTGGCCCCGGGCGCCGCCGGACCAGGAGCCGCCAGGCGCGTCCCTTAGCTCTGCTTAGCGAGGGAGAGCCGGCTGGCCGGTCGGAGCAGGAGCTACTGGAGAGGTCGCCCGGTAGCCCGGCTGCAGCGGGAGCTGCCGGAGGAGCCCCTAACTCTGCCTAGCGGGAGGGAGCCCCCTGGAGCTGGCCGGAGCAGGAAGGGGATTTTCGGGAGTTTAAGCTCCGTTATTCCTATTTAAAATGCCTAAAAAGAAGCCAATGCCCATTCAGCTGAACCCGGCTCCAGAGAGTTCCACCATCAATGGGACCAGCACTGCGGAGTGAGTACCGCCTCTCTGGGGTTTGGGTGTTCCTTCTGTCTTGGCGTGGGGAGGGAGGATGGGGCTGGTGAAGTTAAAACACACGCTTTGCTCTGCTGCTGCGTCTATGGGGACGGTGCTCCGAAATCTCGGAGTCTGGGGATAATGGGAAACGTTATTCTTGCACACTCTTTAGGACTCCAGCAATGCAAAGTGAGAGGATGTTATTTTACAGGAACTCCTCAATCTCGGTTAAAAAAAAAATGCACACAGCAGGTGTTAAAGGGTACTGTCAACATGATTTAAAAAAACAAATACCTGCCGTTTAAAAAAAACAAACCACACAGGTTCTGTTAGAGCAGCATGGCCTAATTAAAAAAAAACAAAAACAAGTTTGTTTGTTTTTTTGCTCCCTTGCTGATATGTGTCTTTTCAGAAAGGACAGTGTCTCTGGTGACACAAAATTTTGTCAGAGATGCATAAAGTAAACAAGGTGAAAAAATTGCGAAAGTTATAATTTAAGTTACAGTTTGTAATTCTAGTAGATACAAAATTTTCAGATGGAAATGTGATTGCCAAGTTAATGGTATCGTTTTAATGTATATATTGTAGAATAAGTACTTAACAAATGTCAAGTAAATTTTGCTTTTATAATAGGAAAATTTTATATACGGCTGTAGAAAAAGTAAGTTGCAATGGAAATCGGAGTGTCATTTCCCCCCTTTTATTGTATGATAGACTGAAAGACAGATTTACTAAAATGGACTGCAGTCACCTCAGCTGTCACATTTGCTTAAAAATAATACTATTGTGGAAACTAGATACTACATCTGAGCTTTCCTGGGTATAATGAAAACATTGCAAAAAAAAAAAAAAAAAATCAGGAGGGAAATAGCTATACATGGTGGAAAGGGAGGTTTGACTAACTGATTTTGATTCTTCATTTAACAACAACAAAGATTGCAATCCTTAAACCGTTACACTTTAATTATGGGTTACCTGTGAATTTATGGGTAAGGAAAGATGTTTGCTTGAGAAGCCTGTATTTAGAATGAAGTATTACAAAAAGTTTGCTAAAGACAACAGGTTTGCACTCATCACTTCATTCTTAGCCTGAGGTTATGAGAGAGATAAATGGAGGTTTGAAATACCTACATTCCCTGGAATCACAGGTTGCTGTCCCAGAAAGGTCAGTTCAGCCCCTTTGCTTTCTTAGGCAGATAAAATGAAGTTTGTGGGTGGGTTTTTCAGAGGACACCTGAAATGGAGGTCCTGTTAGTCATGTGGGCCCGACACCCGCAATTGGTGACAGGTTTTCAGATGAGCTCAGCTTCCATTGTTACCTATATAATACTCTGATTTTCAAAACTACATAGCAGCCAGTAGCTCCCATTGTGACATTTATAACCAGATTTTCAGAAGCACTTAGTGTGCATTGTGCTGATCTTTTAAAAAAAAAAAAATTAACTACTTTGGTGCCTAAATGGGAGCTGACTTCTTCTGAAAATCTGTCTTGGACAGCAGGTGTAGAGCTCTTCTGAGAATTCTGGCCTAAGTGTCACATGGGGTTTGCCCTGGATTGCTTGGTAAAGATTAATATAATGATATTTATATAACATTTCCTGGTGAAGGACCTTCATGGTGGTTAAAAATCATAATTTGATGTAACATTACACAACTGTGAGAGGTGGATATCGTTATCCCCATTTTACAGGTTCCCCAGAGGAGAAGCTGAGGCACAGGTAAATTTTCTTTTTATTTTGATACCTAAAATTTAAAAGCACCTATCAATTGCATCTCTCCAATGTTCCTACTTTCAAGGGATGTTACTTCTTTTAGTTGCAAATTTCCATATAACATTGCATTCAAATTTGGAGTCCCCTCACTTCTCTTGTTGCAAGTTATTTACCTCAGAAATAAAGAGTCATGAAACTAAGGTTATATAGAAAATGTTGTTTACACTGAAGATCTGGATCTCACCGTTTTCAGTTTCTTGTAGTAATACTTGTTATGTGTTTTCCCCCCCCCCCCCCCCCTTCCCCCCTTTTTTTTTTTTTTTTTTATTTTTTTTTTTTTTTTTCCCCCCCCCCCCCCCATTTTGGATCTTTGTTATATGTTGCATCTCATATTTAAGCCTTGGGAGGTTGAGGTATACTAGGTGCTTTTGATGACACAATTAATATAAAGAGCAAATCCAGCAACCTGCCCATACTTACACAGAAACAATTAACCAATCAAAAACACTCAATCCTCCCAACAAATACTAACCCTCATTGTGATACTTCCTGTGTGACTTTTGATGCATGAGGCAGAGCTGGGAATGAATCCCCAATCTTACTCCATTTCTATGATTTCTGAGACCATATTATACTTCCTTTTGCCTTCTACCCCTTCCTTTCCAAGTTCTGCCATGTCATGATTGGTTAATGCCTGCTTTCTACTGCAGCAGAGGTGCCTGAATTTCAGTAGTGTTGTATGCATATCACTTGTAAAGTTTTGGGGAAGAAAGGTGTTATGTATTTGTAAGATTATTACCTTTTTGACAGTTCATTTGCAAGTTTTAAGCAGTCCAGGCCTATTCAGTTGCTGGTCATTTGAGCCCCTAGTAGTTACTCCTTTGCTGGCCTCGTACACATACTTGCCAGTCCAGCGCCATTGTCCAGGTTGTCCCTGTATTCTCTTTCTCTCACCTGTTCTGTTGTATAGTGAAGTTTTTAAAATATATATTGCAAAGCCTGGTTCTCATTTACACTAATGCCCCTTTATAATACCAGTGGTATAAAAGTGGCTTTAGTGTAGTGTACTTTAAGGGTATGTACACTGAACATTTAGCCCCTGAATTCCCGTGGCTGTTGCCTACAACCAGTGCTTCATTCCCCATGATGTGGATTGTTTATTTTAATCATTCACCCAGGCTATTTCAGATTCATCTGGGGCTCCCCAATGCACTTGTCAGCCCAGCAAATACTATGAAAACTTGGTGCAGGTCCTCTGCCAAACTGTTCACTGTTCTTCAGGGTAGTGTTAAAAATAAAAGTCTCCTAGGAGGGGGGATTGCACCACTGCTGTACTCTTTGCATCCACTGCTACCAGAGGGAGTAGCTACACCACAGTGGAATTTAGTGCAATCCTGACCAGATTCATGTTAGTTTTATTCTAGTGCTGCTGCAAGTGGGGAGCAGAGATTAGATAGAGAGGGCAACAAGCAAACAGAAAATAAGCAAACTAACTAATCAGAGTGGAAATAATTTTTCTTTCTCCTACTAAACTATTTGTGATAATTCATTGGCTTGATAGCCAGGAGAAACAAGGAAACAATGTCAATTTTTCATTCCCCTAAAACTTCTGCATTCCCTTCCTCCATTTGAAATTTTGGAAGTGTTCCAGGTCCATGTGAGGTTAAATATGCTCATTCTTAAGGCCAGGCTGGATCGAGCATCCTAGACAGAACCTATTCAGTGAAGCAGAGAGAGAGAGAGAGTAGTTTTAGAGATAATACTTCTTTTTATTCTAATAAAGTTTCTTGTTTATTGTTAGAAGAAAGCGACTCCATGTGATTCCTAGGCTGTGTCTTAACTCCAAAAAACAAAGTGTGTTTTTTATATCGAGATAGCTATCTCGATGTAAAATTCTAGTGGAGCCAAGGCACAGGTAGTTTTTACCTGTTTTTACCTTGATGTAGCTAGTCAAGGTAAACCCCAGGTGGAGGAGTATAGGGATGACCTCTGCTAGCAAAATTGAGCTAAAAACTACAGTGCCTTGTCTCCACTAAGATTTTATATCGAGATAGGTATCTTGATGTAAAAACACTTTATTTTTCTAGTGACGACGAAGTCTTTTGCATTGCCACATGATAGTCCCGTGATGGAAAATATGAAATGAAAGCACAGTATTGTCTTAGAACTCCTAGCTCCTGATGTCTCCTGAGCACTTCTGTCCTCTTAATTTTGCACTGCATTAATGACTCATCTGAAACACAACAGCAGAAGTCCCAGCACAACTAGCAGCAGCAGCACACTATGGGTAAATCTGCACCTAGAGCTAGAGGTGGGATTTCCAGCTTGAGGAGACATACTTGAGCTAGTGTACTAAAATAACATACTTGGGACAGTGTAAGTGGTGGAACAGGCTAGCAGCCCTGAGTACATAGAAGGGTCTCTGATGGGTGCATGCTCAGGGTAACTAACCCATCCTACTGCTTACTCTGCCCTAGCTACATTTTATGTTTAGCATGCTAGCTCAATGAGAGTTAGTGCAAGAATGTCTCCTGGAGCTGGGAATCACATCCCTAACCTCAAGTGTAGATATACCCTAAGGGCTGATTTACAAACAAGCTTGCACCAATTCAGCTAAACTGTTTTCCTAAACCCAATCTAGTTATTTTAGTGCAAGTCTATGTTTGAATATTTGCTTTGGAATAAAAGTGGCTGAACGTGATTTAGTTAAAATTGGTTACACCAAGAGGCAACACCTGTGCAGTGCATGGTGGCTCCAAGGAGATTGGTATAGTTACACCCTCCAAGATAATCTTTCACTAATGTTTACTAGGTGTTTTGTTGGGGCTCACTGAAAACTATCAAATAAAAGGATCTGTATAATGTTGGGTTATAATTTAAACTGATTAATTCACGTAAACTCCATAGTTCATGTCTAAATATTGAAATAGCCTCAGAAAATTGGATAAACTTATATTTGCAAGAATACCTATGCACAAAAGGGTCTGTAAAGGAGAATCTGGATAAACTTGTGGGGTCTAGACTACATGTAAAGAGACTGGTTATGAACGCATATGGTATTAATAGATCTTCTAAAACCATGTACTGGATTGTTGTAACATTGGTAGTAAGCACTGTCCTCTTTTTGCCATTTGAGACAAGTAGGTTAATTTGTGTTTCCCCAAGATGACTTCTGTTCCCTTCTGAAAACAGCCATTAATCGTAGAAATGTAGGGCTAGACAGGGCCTCAAGAGGTCATCTAGTGAGTCCACCTCCCCCCCTCTCCCCCACACACACACTTGAGG